GGATTTGATCGGATAAGGGAGATGGGAGGAGAACTCGGCAGTGGGAAAGGAGTCGTGGGAGAGGTTCGGTCGTGTGGAGCCGGTGTCGGCGGGAGCAGGCGACGGGTTGAGTGGAAATGGGATCGGGAGTGGAGTCGGGAGGTGTCCTCGGGAGCAGCAGGGAGGTGCTCGTATAGGAGGCGGGAGATCGGGAGGAAGAGTCGCGTGGAGAGGGAGAGCAGCGAGTGATCTTGCCAATTGGAATCCCCCTGAAGGCTTCGTTCGCTCGGGTATTTAACGACGCCAATGGGGCAGCGATCGAGATGAGTCGCGGGATTTGCGCAGGAAACACGGAGATTCGACTCCAACAGTGCCAATTTCAGCGGGATTCGAGGATTTCTTCGACGAATACGAGGTACGAAGCGAGATTTCTGCACGATTTCAGCTGGAATTGAGGATCCGATGGGCAATGTATGATTTTGAACTTCTCTCTTTTTTTTTTCGTTGTTTCCCTTGGATTTAGTATACAGGTCAACAATACAAGTTTACAAAATCATCTCCCCAACAATCAGCCAAACCAAGAGCCTCATTAGGGCAAAATAATGACCACTCTTCATTACTCTGGACCCTTTCCATGAAAAGATCAGGAATCCAAAGGGCATAAAAAAGATCTCTGGCCCTATGCTCCTCCTATCAAAAAGAATTTTAGCGGTTAAGAACACAATTAAGACCCTCATGCTAAAAATTGCTTTAAAAAAGAGTTTGTCCAACAAAATACCGAAGATCGAAAATAATAAATCTGGCAGAAACATCATAGTTAACAAAGGTGCTTACCAAAATGCACATCCTCTTCAATGAACAGAGTAATTAGAGGGCAAAGTTCTAAAATCCAAATGATCCAAAAGCCATCCAATGGGGATTACCTTTTTGCTAAGCCACAATGCCTTAAGAAAAGTAGAACAACCCCAACTACCCAATGTAAACTAAATGATTGGAATTAGAGACATTACGACAGTAATTAGAGAGGATCAAATTCAATGCTTACCATATGGGAATGCTAATCGATCCATATTCAAGTGCAAAACTCATACCATGATCAACATTATTCTGTCTAAATTCACATATTGACAGAAAAATGAAGAGTAAAATATGAGAAGTTATTGTTCTTGTTCGTACAATAATTACTCTAAAGTCATAGCAATAAAACAGTCAAACAAGCACTAGACATCTTTTCATTTTAAAATATATATGGAAAAAAGGGTACACACAAATAGATGGGAATTTAACAGGTTTATTGATGCAGATACAAAACGAAATTCAATAAAATTTTGACAATGACATGACAGAAAAACATGAGGATATTTTTTAGAAACATAAAATAGAATAAAGTAATGGTTTCCCTCAGAACACCCCAAATCCTTGATTAATTAGACATTTTGTGAACGCCAACGAATACAAAGGAACTAAAAACTACCTTCCCATGGTTTTTCCTGAGGTCAAGAAACTCAAAAACATCAGCATGCCAAGGCTCCAAATAGACGGCAAATGCACCTAAATATAACATATCAGTCAAGAAACACAGCAAAAGTGAACTAATAAAAACATTTTAGCAAAACATGAAGAAGAGAACAATAGAAAGGGAGGAAGAGAGGGAAGAAGACAAAGAGGAAGATAGAGATAGAGCTTACCTTTCCTTTTTCCACCCCCTTGATCAACATAACGAGCAGTATCATTACATACTCGCAACATGGGAACAATACCATTTGATGTTCCATTTGTTCCACGGATGTAACTTCCAGTGGCACGAATATTGTGAACTGACACACCAATTCCTCCAGCAGACTTGCTAATAACTGCACACTCCTTTAAAGTATCATAAATCCCATCAATGCTATCATCTTTCATGCAGACCAAGAAGCAACTGCTTAACTGTCAATATATAATTTAATCTTGTAAATATTCTAAAACTTTGCGCAAACTAAAAGAAATGATTAATTACAATACCTGAAGCTTAGGAGTGCCTGCATTGAAGAGGGTAGGGGAGGCATGTGTAAACCATCGCTGAGACATCAAATTATATGTTTTTATTGCAGACTCAATATCATCTTTGTGGATCCCAACAGAAACCCTCATCAACATGTGCTGAGGTCTTTCCACAACCTTCCCAGAAACTTTCAAAAGGTAGGATCTCTCAAGCGTTTTAAAACCAAAATAATCATAGTCAAAATCCCGATCATATATAATTTCGCTGTCCAAACAAGCTGCATTCTGATACAAAAATATTGAAAGTTATCAAAACATGTAGGCATCTCCCTTAATAATGAAAAAGCTCGAGACTTAAAAAAAAAAGTTATTCTACTAGCAAATCTGTTGTTATATAAATCTGTTGTTATATTTGCACGATCATCAAAAAATTTGATCAAACCATTGTTGCAAACACCAAATAAGATTTAAGCATGATTTTGCCTAAATCTTCTCAAACACTTAAAAAGGAATTTCTAAATCCCATCTAAAGTAAATATTGGATTTAACAAAATTTAATAATGGTTTGCTTGGCTTCAAGTAAAATTTACTAAGAAGGATTAAGTAAATCTTGTAAATCAAGATTTAATAAATCCTAGAGTCATTCAAGATTGAGGATTCAAATAAATCCCATCTTCTCTTTTATTTGAATCCTCAATCTTGAATAGCTCCAGGATTTATTAAAAGATGGGTTACAATAGGGAGAAATGATATAATTCTCTTAAACCTCGATATTCAAATTAAATTTAAGGGCATTTCCAATAGAACGTCATTTGCTCGTTAGCAGCTCCAGCGAGCATTCGCCCGAACAGCAAATTAAAACGTTTTTTTTTTTCTTTTGTATTTTATCTCGATTATAAACAATGCGATGCCAATATTAGCTATCCACAAACCCATTTTTTGCGTTAAAAATAGATACAAATAGATATGAGAAAGAACATATATAAAATATTCTTTTTGGGAGTTAGAAATGGAGTTCGGTTGGAGATGATTAGATGAATTACTGTTTGATATGACTGCTAGTGTATTATGAAGTGAAAAATAAGTTTTTCGGATGGAAATGTGCTAAGAAGGACATAGAATTTACGTTGCTAAAAAATCTGTTTAGCAAAAATTAGCCTAATTCCTAGCTAGATCGTGCAACCAAACAATCATTATATCTTAACTTAAATCCCAGATTAATTAAATCCTAATAAGACTAAGACTTCAAAAAAAAAATAGATTTAATGAGATTCACTAAATCTTTTAAAGATCCCAAATTTTCCATCCTATAACCAAAGCACTAATGATGATGATGGATGATTGTTTGAATTGGAGTTATTTTGGCATTATGGTATTAGATTCAAAGTGGTTATCATAGTAGCTAAGGATCTACATGGAGAAAAATCTCTTAAGGGAGGCTAGGATTGAGGTTTTCTTATGAAATGCCAATGAGTCGGGGTTGGCTAGGGTTTAGGGTGTGGATTATAGAAGAGGCAAATACAAGTTATTTAGGACTTAAGATGGGAATAACGGAAAGGCCAAAAGCTTTAGTTCAAAGTTTCGGGCATTTTGACAAAGGAGAGATGCTAGAAGGGATACAAGGGGAGTGGTGAGAAGTTGAGGAGTTTAGAAGTTAGTGTTTAATAAAGGAGAGAATGATACGTGGTTGGAGGCTAGAAAATTTAGATGTGAAGGTAGAAATCCCATAATCAAAAGATCTTGACCAAAGACAACAACTAAGTTATCCAAAATAAGAGAGGAAACCATCAAATTATTATTCCAATCAGTATAGTCAATGAATTATAATGTCAATATATAATATAAAAAAAGTAATGCAAATTCAATGTTCCTAAAAATAGTATATCATTCAAAAAAATCCTAAAAATTAAAGGGTTAACCAAGGCATGAATGGATTGTAGCAGCATGCCTTGGATTGAAGAGTAGATCACTTTAATTTACTTAAAAGAACGGCAAAACCAAAGCATGTCCTCAAAGGAGAAAAGTACAACCAAGCTTGCATATATATAACTTGCCTTTAAAGATAGTAAATGATTAAGCACAAATCTTATACAAGGTGGCGGGATCTTATTTGTGATCTTGTAACAGGCCTATGCACAAAATGAAGCTATTATACATCAACAATTCAATGATTCGGTTGGAATGAAGAATTGGGCAACTGAATAGGTTTATCATTTTGAGTTATAAAATCATATTTGAATACGATTTATCAAATCCAAAGTAACTAAATCCTAAATATCTTCTAATAAAGAACGATGATCATTAAAAGTGAAACATTCAGAAGCATATGAAAAATCGTGAAAAAATGAAGAAAAAGAGAAACATCAAAGAGCAGGTGATACTCTCATGACAGATTTAATAAGGAATTGCTGACATAAATTACTACAAAAAAAATTTATACAGTTAGATCAATACTAAGGAAGCCCTACAATTATATAGAATTTTAAATAAATATATTAATATAAATTGTAAAAGGAATTCTTTATAAGGGCCATCAGTCCTAACAAAACAGTAGCACAGTGGTTCTGTTGTTGTCATGAACATTTATATACAATAAGAAAAATCGCTGAAGCTTTTAATTGTACCTTCATCACTATCACATAAACGTCATCAGCAATCAAAGGGGCCTTCTGGCCTGATTTCTGACTGACATGATGGTACATTTCCTTAATACTGCAATCACACAACTCAAATGAATAATAATAATAATAATAAACAACAAAGCAGTTTCAATGTAATAGAAAACAAAACACAGATCAAATGAGGACACAAAAAAAGCATCCATTACGTCTCTGAGAATAACTTCTTAGTATTCTTGTGCAGATTTGAAACTGCAATCCTTGCCGCGAGCTGATAAATAAAACCAGAATTTAATCGAAATATAGAAATCAGAGAAAACAAATGAATCTCAACAAGACATCGATCACTTACCAATGCATAGTCAGGGTGATTAGCCGTCATAGCAGCAGCGGTCTCAGCCGCGAGCTCATCTAGTTGGCTAGTGGTTACTCCTTTGTAGACGCCAAGGCAAACCTTTTGTGCCACAAGCACAGGATCGCAGTGATCACTGTTCAAACCGTAGCTCAGCTTCTTCAAGCGAGCCGTTATCTTGTCGAAGTGGACCGTCTCCCGTTTCCCGTCCCTCTTGACGACGTACATGTTGAATTTCGATGATGATTTCGGTGACGGATTTCGTCGAACGGGTGGTAGGTTAGAATAGGGAAGATCAGAAGAGTAAGTAACTGGGTTTCGATAGAAGAGAAAGCGGGAATTTAATGGCAAGGGATTGCATTCCTTCTCTCGGAAGCCTTTGGATTTCAAAATACTGGCGCCAAAATTTGAGTTGCGGTCGCAGAGCTCTTTCCTTTCGAACTTCGGCGCGCACTTGCGCTATGGAAAGCTTTTATTTCCGGCTTCATTTGAATATATTTTTGATGTGGAATTATTAGGAGATTACAAACATTGAGATGAAATACTTTTGATGTGCCTCATTCTAATTCTCTCTCTCAAATAAAAAAGCATCCTTAATTTCTTAAATTTATTTTGAGTATTTAAAAAAAAATTAACTATACATATATTCTGACACAAACACAAAATGATGTAAAATGTAATAGTAAGTCATGCAAAAGTAAACTTCTTGAATTTTATTTTACAAGGATTTGATAGAATTTGGATTGGAAAAAATGTTTATCAAAATTAGCTAAATTCATCACATTCACTTTAGGAGATTCAAGCGTGATATTTTGAGTTAATTTTTTGCGTTGTTATTTCTATCTTATGGTGTCATAGTCTCATTCAAACAAAATGTTGGTTTGTGGGATACGTTGAAATCAACAATGTAATAATGGTATTATATATGTACATATTTTCTTAATATTACAGAAAATATTTTTGAGTATATAAAATATAATTATATTTTAAAATATTCATTTTAAGGAGTAGTATTCATTTCCTTGAACTCCATAGTAAGACTTACCAAATATTTTGTATATCTAAAAAATGCACCTAAATTAAGCACGCTTCATATGTTCACATCTAACATCATGCTTGTGCTTTCAAATATAGGTGCATTTATATTTGAGCCTAAATATAATTTAGCTCATAATTCTAATAAATATATTATAAATTTGTATACTAAGCCACGCTTCGTATGTTTACATCAAACATCATGATTGTGTCTTGAAATATATGTGCATATATATATATATATATATTTAAGCATAAGTGTAGTCTAGCTCATCATTCTAATAAATATAAATTAAATTAGTTTAGTGAGCCACGCTTCATATGCACATCAAACATCATGATTGTGCCTTCAAATATAGGAGCATATATATTTTAGCCTAAGTGTAGTTTAGGTTATTCTTATAAGTATAAGATAAATTAATTTGCTGTGAGCCACATTCTCACTAATGTCAAATCTTAGCTTAGTGATCACTCCTTTGATGTGATGAGACCATATCAGAGGGTATAGCCTTAGTATGGTTTTCCTAGAGTGGTGGTTGATACTTCATAACAATGTTTTGTCACTTCTTAGGAAAAATCAAAAAGGGTCTCAAAGTACTTTTGGTTGGTTGATATAAGATCATGCATGTTGATATGCCTATGAGATCTAATGAAACTCCTTACAAATGATTATTTAATTTCATACAAAGTTTTAAAAAATTCATTTGGTAAGAGGGCATACCGCATAAACGGAAAGTTGGACAAATAGTTAATGAAAAGTTAGAGCAACAAAGCATCATTATTTCTAGTATTATAACATAATACTCTACGCTAGGCTAATTGATGGCAAGCATTGCTATTTAAACGAAGGAAAAGAATGAGGATTAATTTCTTGGGATAATGAATTACCTCATATTCTCTTAAATAAGTTTGTCCCTTTTTTATTGTGAACTTTCCCTACTGAGTATAATGGCTTGTTTTACATGTATCTTAAGTGTATAACATATATATGCATTCAAAAAAGGCATAATAGTTGGTTCTATACAATACACAATTTGAGCTATAACTAGTACATATGTTTGAGCTATAAGAGTAACATTTGTCCTGATGATTATTCAAGTAGGTTGTATAGGGTCGATGGAACAAATAGTGCCTCTTTGGGGAAAGGCTAAGGTATAAGGAGGGCATCAATCTATAAGGTTTTAGGAAGAACTCAATATAGAGCTTTTTGAACTAAAGGATGAGTAATCATCTGTGTTATCAAATTGGTCATTACAATAACCATGTAACCAATATGTTCCATAAGTTTTTGGATTAAACTTTTTTTTTTTTATTGTGGTCATCATCCAAACCAAATGGTTATGCTTGATCACCCTTATTGGATGCTACTTGTGAAGGATCATTGGATTGATCTTAGGAAGGCTCTATTCGATAAAGATCTCCTTGATATTATCCCCTAGTTATCATTATATGTGCAATGATGGATATCCCCATGTTTTTTAGAATAGATTATAGCATCGTTATAAATTCATCCTAATCATTAAGATTTTACTCCAATATAGGATCATACTCAAGACTTAACATGACATAATGGAGAAAAATGATTCATGTAGCCGACCCCACATAGTAGGATAAAGGCTTGTTGTCCTTGCTGTTGTATAGGATCATACTCAAGTGCAGAATCAACAAAGTTTGAATCAACTGATGTCTTTCCCTTAATATTAGATGGGGTTCACATTATATTCAAAATAGCTTTTTCTTCTATGTCAACTAGTCTAAATATAACCACAATGAGTCTAACAAGTACATCCTAGGTAAATCTGATATAATAACAAATCAAAGAGTCTCCCTATCCACCTTCATGCAAGTAGATGAAGAGTGAAGATAAGCATAAGTGATTGGGCAAAAGTGTTCTTTAGGATCCACTTATACTTAATGGGCATCCAAATGGAAGCTGCTCAGAACAAGTAGAAGAATATTATGATCCAAAATATAGAGTTGTGGAATTTCAAGCTGGTGATTTTATTTTCTTGAAGCTTAGTCTAGCAAAAGGTGTAAGAAGATTTGAGAAAAATAGTAAATTAAGCCCCAGATATATAGAACCATTTGAAGTGACTGAAAGAAATATGAAATCATCTTATAGATTATCACTGTTATATCATATATTAGACATTCATATGTATTTCATATATATATATATGTGCAAAGGATGTGGGTTTCTAATTTGGAACAACATATCTCTAAAACTGAAATTGAAGTTCAGCCTAATATGACTTATAGGGAGGAACCTGAACATATTTTGACTTTTGATGTAGAGTAGTTAAGAAATAAGAAAATCCTATGGTCAATGTTTAGTGGAAGAATATAATTGAAGGAAAATTCACCTGAGAGAAATAAGAGGAAATGAGATAGTAATATTTATACATATTCTAAGTATTTATTTTTGCATATGTAGAGGATGATATTTCTATAAAGAGGGAAGTGTGAATTACCTGCTTCTATATAAGTTGGTAATAATTTTGTGTGATTTTAGTATGTCCTAAATTTATAATTAGAGAATATAATATTGAAGTGAAAATTTACATAATAGAAGTAAAAAAAGTCCATCTATGAACATTGTTGTTGCGAATCTATTTTCAGGTAATATGATTTTGATGATTCTACGACTGCCTTGTCTACTAACATTTCAGGTCCACAAAGATCAGACTGTAATTTGAACCAGCTCAAGATTGGGTAGACTATGTCTAAGTCAGATTGTAAACCTTTTTTCCTTTCTTGAGTCTATTATAATAAATATGATTCCTGATGTTAAGTAATCTTGCACACACACACTTGGGGGAATTTTTTCTGACTACTTTTAGAGTTCTTTTTTTTGCTCACATCATCCGGGATGATCCAACTATCATCCTGGACGATCAGCTGATAACAGAAACCCTAATTAGGGCATCCTAGTTAAGGCAGTCATTATTAAGCACATCGTCTTAAACAATATTTGCATCGATCGGGACGATAGGCTCAAATAAAAAAGAATTGGCTGTTAGATCTATTTAGGTATTATTTATTTTTGGACATCGTCCAAGATATCGTCTTGGATGATGCAACACAATTATGTCTAAATTAATATGATAATTAAGGCTTAATTGATATGATCACATCATCCTATATAATTACAGGATTGTCTGAGACGATCAGTTCAAAAACCTTAGTTATTCCTTGACGATCACATATCAGATAGCTTCTATTCAAGGTGATGTTTTGGATAATTTTCATGGATTTGAACTAATCGTCCAATACGATCATGAGATTAGCCTAGACGATCAAGCTATTTTTCAATCGTCCAGACATCCCTTCAGTGCGATTATCTGGATGATATTCCATGATTTGTACTCATCGTACAAGATGATATATTATCATCATGGATGATATGTTATCGTCTTGGATGATATGAATAAATTTTTTCTAATTGTCCCAGATCATCCTGACTGATTGAGATTAATTTGCACTGATCGTACATTACGATATTGATATCATCCTGGGCGACAAAGTCAGTAAGTTGTAATTAATAAGCTATTTCGAGGCTCTTCTATTTAAGAGCACTTATTCTACCCATTAGAATATTTTTTACTGTTATTTTGACCTAAGAGAGCCAAGAGGAGAGGGAGATCAAGGGAGAGAGAGAGAGAGAGAGGATCTTGTGAGGGAGTTCACAAAGGTTGCTCAAAGCAAGGATTTGTCGTCGTCTTCTCCAGTCTTCATCCTTAGTTCCTTGGGGGTTCTAGAGAGGTAAACTTCAGCATCTGATCACGGTTCTCTACCTGCTTTAGGAGGAAATAAACGGAGTTGGGTTCTCTGCTTGCTTCTGGAGGAAGTAAAAGATGTTAGGTTCTTTTCCTCATCTGGGTTAATAAAAAGGAGATTTGTAAAGGCTTCTCCACCTTGTTGTGGGGGAAAAAGGAGAGACACTGAGTTTGGTGCAATACTCGGAGGGCTCCTCCGGGGAGTCGACATAGGTCGTGTTGACCGAGCCACTATAAATTTATGTGTTCTTTATTATTGCTTCCGCATTTAATTTCTATACTTTTATTTTTGTAGTGAATCTTAGTTTTTGTTTTAAGATTGTATTTTGATCAATTTTTTTTTTAATTCCAATTCACCTTCTCTTGGTTAGCCTTTGGACTAGTTCATAAGGGCTTAACATCCCTAATGAACTTTCTAGTGCCATCAGAGCAATTTCAAGTGGTATTAGAATGGGATTCATAAAATCTAGTTTTTGAAAATTTTGAATTTTGATCGATGACTAACTTTAGTAATCGCAATACAACGAAAGGATATTCTATTACACGACTACCTTTGTTTGTTAATATTCCTTCTGATTTTTAAAAAACTCGCATGTTTACATTTTTACAATCGCTTGATTATCGTATATGGATGCTTGTTAAAGAAGGTTATACACCACCTTCTCGTGAACTTAATGGAATTAAAATTGAAGTTCATTTTACTGAATGGACGTTTGATGAAAGAGATTTAACACAACTTAATATAAAATGCTTGAACTATTTTTTATGTGGTTTGAAATCTG